AAAGTTTATCAGATCTACAGATGCACCCGCACTAAGAGAAAAATGTCGAATTCAAAGTGCATATGTGCGTCCCAAGCCTCAGGCGCGAAGAGGCCAGAGTGGGAGCCGCCGTTACCGAGAAAAATCGGTTCACCCTCCCATAAAAAGTTATCACTTCAAAAACGCAATTACGCAACAACGCAGTGGTTACTCAAATTGAAGAATAGAGCCATGTTTCATCAAATCCTCTTTAATTAGATTTTAGTTCTCTAAATTATCTAGTACTAGTTGGGCACAGCCAGATCTCTTTCAACAATCTTGCTTCAAGGTACATAATCTTCACACCGGCAAAGCGTGTTTCTGTATGTTACGAACCCACAGTATAGGTGGTTTCAAACAAACAGTTGCACCCACATAAGGCGCACATAGATTTCCGCTCGAACCACATCTGCAAATGGTCGGTATGGCCGCCATGGCCACAAATCACGCAACAATTCACCGAGCCCCTGGCTGCAGTGTTGCAGATTATGCAGTGAAACGGCAGCCGTCTGCAGCTGGTGCATACCGAATGTTTGATGGGAGTCTGGCAGATTTGGCAATCTGGGATAAATTCGGCCCCTTTGTAGGGCTCCGGTTGAATGGCCATGAATTTCATCACCTACAAGACCAAACAGGTCACTGCCGTTTGGGTAATTGTGGGATAAACTACCTCAGCTCGGTTGTACAAAAGGGTCCAACGGTGCAGCGTCTCCGCATAGGCCATTTTGTAGTACTCGTAAAGCGCCACATAGGGAATCTTGGGTGGGATTGTTGCGACCACAATTTCCTCAGCTCGGAGGTTGTCCAAGGACGTGGAACGGGTACTTTTCAGTAGGGGTAGCACCCAACCATCCGCCACCACGTCGGCTGGTGGGATGGTGTGGTATGGAGAGACTCCCGGCTAAAATGTAAAGGGAGTTTAAAAAATGCAACTTGGGTGATTAAAAAAGGGCGTCAGTCCTGTGGAGGCTACTTAAAGTAAAAATAATTGTATATACTTTCCTGACTGTGTTTCAATTCCAAATCAAAATTAATTCCTGGGTTTCAGTCATTTATTGTCTCTATTTATCAATTAAAATACGTTTCGGTGTATTTTTCCACCATCATCAGTTTTTATGTGTAGCGTTGTTGCTGCTTTAAGCCTTGGCATGCATTTTTTGCCGAGCAAGA